AATTGTTCTCTCGAAAGTTGTAGCCATCTATTCTGAGAGGTTATGAGTATCTCATCCCATTCGGTGGTGGTCTTACTCACTACCGTCTCTTTCTTGTCAATATCCTTTAAAGCCTAAGTATTTGCTGCGTATCTCCTAATGCCTTTGCCACCCACCGCTATTGCAAAATATCTTAGTGAATTGCTCTCGCTCTTCATTGTGATCGAAACAGGCTGGAATGTGTCTTCTCGCACAAATCAGTTCAGATGACGTTGCGGAAATCCACTGAAGTTTGTTACTCTTTGCAAGCAGGTTTACAATTGTCTTTACCGCTGTTTTGATGGCCAAATTAAAGTCAATCCAGGTTTTCTCAGGGTGAACATTGCTGCCAAGTTCAGATATTTGACATCCTCATCTTCTAATCAAACAATCGCTTCGTTGCCGCCTTTGTGACTAGTAAGCCGCAGACATACACCTACTGATACTAAATCAACATAGGAGTCAAAAGGACATAACACCCATAAAAAACCCTTACGTATGAGACAATACAAGTATAAAATCATTTGTGTATTGTAGTTTAACTGGGATATTTAAAGAGGATATTGTCTACACATTGACTATAAAGTCACAGGGTGACCAAAAAAATCAATGTAGACCCTTGTACATAAGTGTATCGGCCCTAGTTGCCACACTTCAACATGGTAGTTAGCAAAAAACAGTGGGTAGAAAAAGGCTGTTATCAGAGTGTATAGAAGGAAAAGAATTTAAAAATTAGCGTTAGTGAGAATATTCAAGCTTTATAGGATGTCAGATAGAGAAAACAACCCTGCGCATCATCATAGAATAGAGCATAGAATGGCAATCAACTCTTACCCTCAACTTCACCGACTTTGAAAAGGCTTTCGACAGTGTCGACCGAGAAGTAATTTGCCAACTGCTCCAACACTACGGAATACCACAAACTTTTATTAACCTCATTCAACAGCTATATGACGACGCCACATGCCGAGTGATCCACAATAGGAAGCTCAGTGATGCCTTTGAATTGAAGTGAAGACAAGGGTATGAACAGACAAGGCTTCCTACTATCACCCATGATCTTCCTGATTGTGGTTGACTGGATCATGCAACAAACTGTGAGGAGCATGAAGACGGGGATACGCTGGACCGCGGAAAATAACCTAGAAGATTTCGCTGATGACTTGTGTCTAGTGTCACACAAACTCGAAGATGTACAGGCAAAAAGTAACAAGTTGGCAGAAGAGGCAGGGCAGCGAAGACGGGACTGCAAGTGAATGTAGAGAAGCAGAGGTGATGAAGATACCCAACAAACGCCACCACAAACAACAACAAGCACGAATCACCATCAATGGGAGAAACTAAAGGAAGTAGCCTCTTTCACCTACACCTAACTAGGCGGCATCGTTTCAACTACAGGCGGCACAGGCACAGACAAGGACGTCAAAGTCAGCCAGGATCGGAAAGACAGCAAAACAGGCGTTCACTAACCTGAAACCAGTGTGGAGATCTTCTGCACTCTGCATAAAGCGTGAACAAGATCCGGATTTTCAACACCAATTGAGTCAAGTCAGTGCTTCTATGTGATGGTTGAGAGACTTGGCGCGTTACGAAAAGCATTTCCAACAAACTACAGACATTCATCAACAGTTGTTGCCGACCGACGCTCGTTGTTGAATATCAGATGATCAGAAAGAATAAGCAACAAGGAATTCTGGCTGGTGACGAACCAACTAAGAGCCTATCACTCAACAAATATGCAGAAGTAAGTGGAGATGGATTGGGCATGCACTGAGAAGACCATTGGGGACATCACGCTCCAGGCCAGGCACTCGAGTGGAACCAGATAGGAAACGGCGAGTTGGGCGTCTGAGGCGAGGGTGACATGGAGATGGTTGTGGGGAATTAATGAGAGCTTGCTGACTGTCGTGGAGTCAGGTCCAAAGGAATGCAGAGAAGAGAGTGGAATGGAGACGTGCTACTGAATCCCTATGTCCCACTAGGAACCCAAGCGACAAATAATGATAAAATATAACCGGTTTTCAGGCATGTCACTAAAGGTCCTCAACCATTGATTTCTGTGGTCTCAAGGACTCCAGACAAGCAGTCTACATCTCCAAACACGGCTAAAGCCAACAGTAAGAGACTTCATCTACTGGTACAACATCTTACTCTTCCCCTTGCACAGCACGTCAAGGTAGGCGATAGCTTGGTTTATGCAGTACATGTCCAAGCCATCTCAACTGATGAAGGTTAACAAGGTGATACAATCCTATCGATTATATTGTTGTAACACCTGGAACTACTTATATACTTTCCATCATTCAAATATGAAAAGAATTACCTCTTATAAACGATTGGATGTGGAATTAGTGTACCTATAGTCCCCAAGCTTATCACCGTCATTAAGACTCCTGTTCCTTTCTCCGCCAATTTTACATCTATCAAATAGACACCCAACAATTTTCACTTTGTCAAACACTTTCCTTTTCTTGTGTTTATGTAAACCCTTCCTACTATTTATCACAGTTTTAACACTAATGTTGCAACTGTACCTTGTTGTTCAATAATTGAATACTAAATATCGTTGCTGAATAATGGCCAACAGTGGAAACCAGGATGCAAGTTTCATTCTGTTCAGAACTCATCAACTGGGTGAATAGTGTTGTTCCCATCAAGAGTTGAACCTAAATTCCAAACACCACAGCGCCATCCACCAGATCATGATAGCCGCTTCTTGTAAAAATGAACATAGTCCTGATGATATTGCTTCTAATTTCTCGGCATTGATTTGACCGGCAACTACTGGGATACGGGCTCGTAAGCTGATGCTCCAACATTGCCTGTATATTCAGTTTGACAGGGATATCAGATAATGAAATCCAGGATGAGTCCTTTTAAGGAACCGCCAAAAATCTAGACTTACATATTATATATATATATATATATATATATATATATATATATATATATATATGAGTGTACAGCCATACAAACGCTCCTTTTCTTTATGATTTGTTAGTTATCTCCTAATTCTAGATCGCAAGCCAAAGTATGTCTATTTTACGTTAAGTCTCTTGCAATTCACATAGGTAAACTTACGTTATTAGCCGTCGTGAGATTGTGTTCAAATGAAGGCTGTGTCCCACGAAACGATACACTGATACTCATTATACGATAAAACTGAAGTATACATTCTCTAAATATGTATAATATCCGGTTTAATATGACACTATGGTTGGATCTTGAGGCGGTGACCAAGAATTACCAGTCTGAATGATGAAGATACCAAAAGAATTTCAATAATCAGTAGAAAAAATTCTTCACACTAGCTTGGATGGTTAATCGTTGCACCTATTGAATGCTGGAATTATTGTCAAAACTTATCCAAGAGCAGAATGCCGAGATTCATAACTATCCAATGCAATAGCTTAGCCCAGGAGTGGTGACTATAGATCTCTGATTGACTCTACAAGACTCATTCTGTCTAGTTCTGATCAGGAGTGAAACCAGACTGAGCTTGAATTGAGTGAGCCTTTGTAAGGACCACAACTAGTAGTGGGTGATAGAAAATGTGCAAAATACACGTATGATAAGTTATGCTGGGCAATTTTCCACAAAAGATTATTAGTAAGGCTTCTATCGAGATAAGTGGATCCCTGGTAATCTATCAGGAACGGCTGGTAAAGCGAGACTGAATACTTCCAGCGAGTGTCTACGCAGTAACACAATGTGATGAGACCGAGATAACTAATGTGCACAGTACCAAGTTAGAAAGGCAAGTGATTTGTTGGAATTGTGAATGTGCATTGACTTGTGTGTTGCTCATTAGTAACTGGAGGCGAACTGGGCTCTAACAAGCCAGGACAAATTACTAATCCATGAATTCTTATTCCCAATCTGAGCAAAGTTTGGTTGAGTTACAAGAGGTTTTAATAATAGTTGCCAGCCAAACATTTTTTCAAATGCATATACGATTCAGAACGAACTAGGTTACACAAAACAGAAATGCTTAGTAGCTAACCATCGTTAGAGTTGCAGCTCACTGGCGTAGGTAAGGGACGTCTAACCAGTCAGTTAGCACATTAACCCTTAAACAACAGGTATGACTAACTGACTAGTGCATAAGCAAGCACGTGTAGCTGAGTTTGTTATCATCAAACCTAGCTCTTAAATAACTAGATGCCGACCAAAATAATACAGTGCACTTGGCACTTTCAATAGCTGAAATGGAGTCCAACAGATAGCCTGAACGTACTTTTAGCACACAAACGCACACTAGAACTTCCAAGTACAAGTAATCCATATATTAAAACATCTTTATTCCCGTCTCAAAAACAAATAATCATTGGCAGTCATTACAGGCAAACAATATGTGGTCTCCTTAGTGTCCAGTTTGACTAATGAGGTCATCCACTATGATTCCAAGTAGTCAAAATGTATACCCTTAGGAAAACACAGACATCCAAAGTCCATATAAGGACTACATCCGGAATGGAAACCTACTAAGAAAAACAATAACCACAGTTCTATAATCATCCTCATGAATGTTAACTGCATTTATTTGTTCCTCAGTCTGTCAACAGAGCACAACCAGTACTGAATAAACGTAGTGACATCGAATGCCAACAAGGCCAAGCATCCCTAGGATGAATGCGACATTTCAGTGCATCATGTGAAGGTTTAAATAAAAACGCAACTACACCCCGTCGATAAAAACACTTGAGTGACACCACAATTCTTCTTGGATAAAAATACGCTCAAGGAAGTACTGTGGGGAGCAAATAGAAGTACAGACATCGGTACAGCGAGGTTATACATGCATACGTGGATTTTAAGCACCATGTATACAACAGACAGTTATCCTAATCCATATTTGTGTAAATACAAGCGTCTACGTGACAGACAGAAACGAAGTGTATGCAAGACATACACATGTACACTGAACTTTGCACCATGACACATCCTACAAGCAAAGTTTACCAAGAACGATTACATAAATACAGCTTTATTATGATATAGCTAGATTGCTTTGAACACGCTTCGTTCATCACCACAGTAATGATCTTTCTCATTAAATACTAGGAGACGACAATAAACCATCGGATAAAGGCACTCACAACTGGCTTAGTCGACATGTACTAGAGAATTAGCTTTAAGATCACAGATGTCGATATCCGAACCGTCATGTTCAGCGTTGACGTCACATACGTGATGAAGCAAGTCTGGATATTAAATCTACGGAAATATACATTAGTCTTCGAAAAACAAAGTGTCAGACTGCCAAAAGTTTATTTTACAACATTAGAACTTAGTGAAAGCCTTCTTGTATTTTGAGCCAGCTGCTTTCGATACCTTTATGACATTGAAGGAGACCGTTTTGCTTAGAGGTCTGCACTCACCAACGGTAACAACATCTCCTACATTAACATCTCTGCAAAAACGTAAAGAAGTAACCCAACACTCACCTGAAACATGGTGACAGATGGACGGACATGTTCTTGTGACGTTTTTCATACCGATTGTACTTTTTGACATACTTCAAGTAATCACGTCTAATGACAATTGTCCGATTCATTTTCATTTTACGCACAATCCCTGTCAGAATTCTGCCACGGATGCGAACATTGCCAGTGAAAGGGCATTTCTTATCTATGTAAGTACCAAAAATAGCCTCTTTTGGTGTTTTGTATCCAAGCCCAATGCTTTTATAGTATCTCGCACCTTTCTTGCCCTTAATTTCTTGCTTCTGGAAAGCGTTTTCCCTCTGAAATACGAATAAAACAAAGATACCAACAAACCTGCTCAGCCATGCTCTTGGCGCTAACTTTCGAAAGTGTGCCGTAACCTGTTGAGCATTGTAACAAAAACAAAATTAAAAAGTTGAAATTGAGTTACAGTACTATTTTGTAATTCCGTAGTAAAAAACTTACCTTGGATTTTACGGATGAATTTCAACCAGTGTTCTGTATGAAAGTATGACGATAATACGAAGAAACGACAAAATGACTTCTGCGAAAGTAATTGGTTGATTTTGATTAACACCTTAACGTGCTAGTATATATATGACGAATTTTGTTGATGAAATCTATTTTTCTATATTTGCCGAATTACTTCTTTCTAACTGAACGCTATTCAATAATTCTGTCTAAGATTCTGACATGGGATGCGCTTGGAGTGAGCCAGAGAAAGTGCAACAAGATAAGAGTAAGGCCATAGAAAAGCAAATACGCCAGGACGCTGAAAAATCTATGAAGGAAGTTAAATTACTGCTACTTGGAGCTGGCGAATGTGGAAAGTCGACTGTGTTAAAACAAATGAAAATTATTCACGGTGAAGGGTACAAGGAAGACGAAAGGAGAGAATATAAACCTATAATTTTTGCAAACACCGTCCAGTCCATGATAAAGATTTTAAAAGCGATGGAATCACTGGATATAACAGCTGATGATTTTGATCCGGCGGAAGAATTAAAACACCTAAATGGATACTTAGCAACAGTTGAAGAAGGAGAATTTCCGGAGGAACTGTCCAAGCTACTGAAATCATTATGGAGTAGTACCAGTGTGCAAAAATGTTTCGCACGTTCCAAAGAGTACCAATTAAATGATTCAGCCGGCTTCTACCTTGATTCCTTAGATCGAATGTCAGCTAATGATTACTTGCCGACTGAACAAGATGTATTAAGATCTCGTGTCAAGACGACCGGCATAGTGGAAACAAACTTCCGTTTCAAAGACCTAGACTTCAAGGTGTTTGATGTTGGTAAGTACTATGAAGCTGTATGGTTAAACTGATTTTCTCATGATTTTCTTATGTAAATAAATACTTTTTAGTTCAAGGGAAGTGTGCACAACGGGTACAACAGGGCCATTTGGTTAATTCTTCACTCCGAAGCTAGCTTAACCTCGCACTTAAAACATAGGGTACCATGCATGTCTTAGTCATACCGGAACATCCAAATAATTCTGGAATTTGACGCACTGTACTTATACATGCCGACATTTTCAGTTCTTATTCACCGGACAGATTAAGCCTTAAGCAGAGAAGAAGAAGGATGATAAAATCAGTACATATGCGTGTGAAAGGTGGGCTTTTAAAAAGTCAAGACCGTTAAAGAAATACTCATCTTTCAGACTTACTGTGAAATGTATGGTATTTTAAATTTGCCATTGTTTCTTTTACCGAAACCAGACAGTTAGACATATCCACCCTTAAATGCTACCATAGGAAGACAAATATATTTCAAGTTGGGATCAAGACTTGACAATTTTTCCAAGGGATGTCTGATATGCGGACAAATAAGGAGTCTACTCTAAAGCTTGCGGGGAATAAAGAGATGACTTGAGAGCTGAAAAAGCACATGAAGTAATATAATCACTTCATTTTTCTTACTTCTGATTTTACTGATCATACATGCTCTCTTCTTATGTATACCGGTTTAAAAAGCTAAAATTTAGAGATACCATTATATGTGCCGGGGAATTTTCGGGCTTGACTTCTCCTACCTATCTCTATTGTGTGTGTCGAGAATTACTAGCCAGAGCGCTGCAGGGAGAGACTATGACGTCACTTATCCAGTCTGTCGAAACAAGAACCGCCGACCCTACCTCAGAAATGGTCAGTAACTCGGGCAGGTTCGAAGTGTGATATTCGGTTCTTTATTCGCATGGCGTTTCGTTATTCCATGCTCTTTTGCTCGGTGCCGGCGTATTTCGGAGCACAGTCGGTGGTCTTCGAGACTTATTGTAAAGAAACCCGTGGAAGAGTCTAGTCAGTTATCTGTAGGTGCAGCCGTAGTAATCGCAGGCCAAGTGGTTCCCATTAATAATAATAATAATGATAATAATATAATAATAATAATAATAATAATAACAGCGGTGTCTTGATAGGGTAGAAACTGTTTTTCAAGTGGACGAAAGCGTGGCATACAGAAATGTGCTACATCGGACGTTCCTTGAACTGCTGTGATCTGTTATTCATTTTTGAGCTTAGAGCTAGGCGTCTTGAGGTGGACTTCCTGGAATATTCAGAGCCTGATGTAATAGTGTAAAATTTAGTTTACTCCTGAAAGGACAGCACTAAAGATAGCCACGTTTATGTATGAATAGGATGTGTTTGATCAAACTAAGTTCATTTGATGGTGGTACCGACAAAGATACTCAGAGCGACTGGGCAACACGTTTTGCGGAAGATCGTGGAACTGAGAGATGATTCGTGCGACCACGCCAATTCCTTCTGATCTAGGATGTCAAAACGGTGGAACACACTGCGGAAGTTGTCAAACGCAACGCAAACAATGAAACCATGGAAGCCGGGTGTGGAACTTCCGTAGCCGGCTGAAATGACAACAACTAGTCGGCAAACGGCGTAGGGATTTGAGAATGTGTCTCTAGTCATGTTCTTCAGCCAGACTTAAAATGAGATTAGGTAAGCCGGTCTTATAGGACAACTGCTGTTCTGTAGCATAACAATTCTGACAAACAAAACCAGTCGTCTATTTCCCTAAAGCCTAGAACAGCATCAAGTTCAGCCCCGAAGTCCGCACAGAACAATTTCAGGGGCGACCACCAAACTCACCAACCACTGTCTGGACCAGTCTGGAAGAATGAACTCAGATTTAAGGGCATCCTAACATTACAAGGGAACAATACCACTAACGTGTGAATGCAAAACACTTCCTTTAGGGGGAATACACAGTTTTTCACTTGCAGATGAAAGTAATTTATAGAAACGGTTGGTAATGAATACAACAGAAAGTACTTTGGGTTTGTAGGAGTATGAGATATTTTGGGAAAAGTCCATCTTGAACTAACTCAGGTAGACTTCTATATGGAATGCCAGGCGAATCTCTTACCATCCTAACAAATTATTGTCCTTCGTATGTCAGGCCAAACGGATATTTTCTAACTGAAAGCCAACCTAGAATGAGACTACCCCTGTTAACCGTATCCATAAAAAGGTCGATAGACCCTCTGAATTGTTAATGATAACATTGGAAGTGGCTGACGCCAAAATTTGATGCTCACACCACCAGAAAATCATGAAAACTCCCAGTGGCGCATGACTGGCTGGTACTGAAGGCGGTGGTACCATGCCACATAAAAAATCTTCATCAAATAAAAATGTGAGTTTCAGGCAGTGCAAAATAAACACTGTAGCGTAAGACCTTTTTGAGTTACCGCAAGAATAGCCACAAGGGTTGGTGAATGAGGGAATCCCAGGAAGGCAAATTGCTGAAACTACTGTATTTTCTATGGAATTCATCACATTCCTAAGAGAAGCCTGGTGCCCGGTAAGATGTGAAGTATGGGTTCACCTAGAAGGCAGCTAGAATTTTGAAGGCCTTCCCGATGTGAAAAGTATGACCGTTTGTGTGCGTGACCCATATTAGCGTCCCAAACGGGGGACAAAAGAGCTGTAAGAAACCTAGGAGAAGCGTATATTTCTTTAGAATGATAAGACTATTGAGAGTGTGTCCGAAGAGAAAATCCACTGCATGTAGCAAAACTTGGGAAGATTATGCTGGCTGTTTAACTATGATTTGCCCTCATTCTTGCTACAACAGCCATCAGTGATCATAGTAACTTCAGGATTCACTACTTAAGAAACTTCATTTTCTTCTTACGGTGTCACCATACGACATCTTTTATGGTGGTTTCAGGCCAAAGTGATCCATCTTCACCTTGAAAATGTTAAATCGGGAGACAGTAGTGAAGAGTGGAGCTGTACTGGCCCAACTAAACTTAAAAAGCTGAGGACAATCACTCACTGTGTAGCAAAGCAAAAAAGCCTGGCTGAGCGGTTGGTTACACATAAAGCGAAACATATGCGCCACAGCCAAACATTGAAGTGTATGAGCAGTTATGGGAAAAGTGGCTCATACTGCTTCAGTAGATTGGTCCACCTCTTCAGACACATTTTAAGGCATGTAACAGGCATGTCACAGTAGATAGGATCTCGGTGAGTATACTGAATATGATGAAGTACGTATTGTTGCATACAGACAACTACCGACTAGATCGCGTTTGAATAACCAAACGACTTTGTGGGCTGAAAGGACCTCCATCACTCAGCTTGTCTGAAATTATGTTAAAGCCTGTAATGCAAGATAGAAAAGTCGGTGCTGTAAGTCCTCAAGAAACTAATAAAATTTCAACGTAAAAGGTTGAAAGTTTCGGAATTTACGAATTCACTGATTACCTAACGCGACATGGCGACTAAATATAATCTTTAAAAACAGTGCAACTCAACCTAGTACAGGCTCTGGGCCACACCTGTTGTGTGAGGGATCAAGATAACACCCTGTCACTTAGGACGAAGTAGATGAGGTGGGAGGCGTATCTCGAGACCAGTGCAGTGAAACTGAGTGCCTAATTATACGAGCCATAAGTTCACAAATATTCTTATTACTTATTATAAGAACGATGGTCCCATAAGAACAAAGTTTTCCCCAGGAAGTTGCGTTATGGCTGGGGAAGAACACATCCAACTGTTGTTTGCAGATGATATCTCTAAATGCTCACGAAAATTCTAGTGATCAAAACGCTGCTGGTCAAAACTTTAGAGCAAGTGGAAAGTTGGTTAAATAACGTGCAAAGTTGTACATGTGCGAGGTTATACTAGCAAAATCACTAGCTTCAAAGCATGAGAAAGAAAAATCACTTATTCAGCAGAAAGACATCCAAAGTAGCGCGCAGCGATGAGCCGACCGTCAGACGTTACTCAGAATGTCTGCATTATTTTGATAAAAGTTGAATGGTGGCACTTTGATATATACGTATATATATACCAGCGGGTATGCAGAATTAATGCACTTAGTATCTTATCATTTGGAGAGCAAACGAAAAGATCGGAGTGATATTTGATGTCTGGGTATATGATCACTTGTCGGGGGTTTAACACCAAGATTCTAATTAATTACAAGTAAGTGAAGACTACATATATATTTGTGATGGTAGGTTAGGGGTTCTTTGTTCACCGAAAAGATATTGCAAAATTATCGGGCGAAAACAGCATCCATCTCTGTCGAATGGATACATTTATAAAGGACTGACTCTGATTGCGGCAGCGCTTGAACTGCTTGAGGTAAAAAGGGTGCCTAGAGACATAACATTTGAAGGAACTTGATAGCTTCTAAGTCATGTTTGGTTATTTATTCAGCCACCACATTCATCTGACTCGGCAATATATGTATTAGTTCTCTGAACAAAAGTACTGTCTCGCGTTCACTGCATGTGCGACGATTATATTTTGTATCAGGTGATGTTTACCAACACCAACCTACATAAATATTCAGTCAAACAGAAGTATAAGTTAAATGAGCTGCAGCGAAGAGAAAAACTTTTTCAATGTAGAACGAAGTTTTGACTGTCACATGCACACATACGTGCATACGTGCATAGTGCATTGTACTAGTGACTTTAACCTAAAACCAAGTTATAAAATAATTCATACATACATTCCAGTGCAGCCATTTACATTTCGTTTGTAAGAGGCTAATTGGGTTATTGGTTCCCAAATATTATGCCCCTGTTCCAAACTGGTCAATACCTTCCCTCTGTGAGTACTGATAACAAAATGCAAACAGGGAGACACGTTGGATAGTAAGAGGATCTCAGTAGAGGAGTTTGTATGTTCGTCTGAGGTAAAAACACAACTTTACAGGGGAACGTTGAGAATTTTCTGTACATGGACAGCTGGTCCTTGGACCGTCAGTATGCGGCTGTCTGTCAGCACAGAGATGCAAACACACTATATCGCGA